ACTGAGTTCCTATGTACCTCCATAAACCAAGAACATTTCTTTAGTTCATCTCAAATACTTGAGAATGTTCTTTACCGTTGTCCAGTGGTCATTTCCAGGATTGTCCTGATATCGGCTCGTCATGCTCAAAGCACATGACACATCAGGTCTAGTACATATCATGGCATACATGATTGATCCTATTTTCGAGGCATAAGGGATCCGACTTATTTTTTTTAGTTTTTAACTTGTATTAGGACACTGAGACTTGCTCAATGCCATACCATGATTCATAGGAATGAACTCCTTCTTGGAATCCTGCATGTTGAATTTCTTCAACACTGTCTATGTAGGTAATTTGGCTTAAACCAATGAGACGTCTGGATATATCATGACGTCTGGATCTTGATGCCTAATATGTATGTTGCATCTCCCATGTTATTCATAGAAAAACATTTCCTTAGCCAAGTTCTCACACTATGCAAAGTAGGGATATCATTTCCTATGAAGAGTATGTAATCTACATACAACACAAGGAAGACTACATTACTCCCACTAGTTCTGACATATTGTTCGTTCAGTTTATGCAACCTTAGATTTCAACACAAGAATAAAAATCAGTGCAAGTATACCCCTTGAACTACTATCTCCTTGTAACAAGTATTAATGGTAAAGTACCAGATATCGTTCCCACAAAGAAATCTTTGCAAAGTTCTTCAAAAGTTCAGTCTATAAAAACTAATTTCAAATGACGAATTTGTAAAACCCAAAATTTGAGAATAAATAATTTATCTTTATTTACAATTTCTATTTTTAATTATATTAAATAGAAATTTAATAATAAGTCTAAAATCGGGCCAAAAGAGAAAGAAAAGTCAAGCCATGGGCGAAGGTGTAATTTCGCGATAGTTAGAGGGCGGGGTCGGGTGTAAACCGGCCCAAATCAGAAGGACCTGTTGTGTAATTTTGCAACAGACCGCACAAACAGAGGAGGGCCTGCTGTCCTCGTTAGGAAGGGCAGGAAAGGGCGCATGCATGGCCTGGCCTCTTTGAGGAAACTGCGACCTGCATGGCTGCAGGCTGTAAAGAAGACAGTCTTGCAGCCTGGAAATCGGGATTTGGCCGATTTGGTTAACTAATAGGCCAAATCACTTGGGTATAAATTAAGGATACTGGCCGAGAGTGATTATCTCTTGAGAAGAAGGAATCGTGAGCTTGAGAGAAAGAGGAACCAGAGCTCAAGACCAAGCAAGAACACCCCCTGTTTCCTCAACGTTTGGAGGTAAATACTCAACCAAATCTTATGTTAATTATGTCTAGTGATGCCTTTGGTCGTGTATAGAACCCTGGAAGGCTCATGACCAAACCTTGGTTTTAAGGATCGATTCAAGGTTTAGATTTCATATAGTAAGTACACTGTGTCACATTGTAAAACCACGTAGAGGAGGACATACAGAAGCTCTGCATGAGAGCTCTGTAACGTGTTAGAAACTCTGCATGAGTTTTGTATTAGGTTGTGAGAGCTCTGTGACGAGCTCTGTACCAGATTATGTCAACAGAGGCTCTGGTTGCAAGAACCAGAGGGCTCTGGAAGGCTCTGGATGAAAAGAGGGAGAGACCAGAGGGGCTCTGGCCCTTGGTGAATATTTTCTAAGTATAGTTCAACCAGAGGCTCTGGTCGTGAAGACCAGAAGCTCTGGAAGAGAGGCCACASAGGGGCTCTGGCCCTCAATGATGAGTTATTTTTCCAAGTATGGTTGGAACTAGAGGCTCTGGTCATGAAGACCAGAAGCTCTGGAAGAGAGACCAGAGGGGCTCTGGTCCTGCGTTGAAATATTTTCTAAGTGTGGCTAAGAACCAGAGGCTCTGGTTATGAAGACCAGAAGCTCTGGAAGAGAGACCAGAGGGGCTCTGGTGCCTCTGGTCCTGAATACAAATATCTTCTAAGTATGATTTAGAACCAGAGGATCGATGGACGGGTTACTAAATATTTTCTAAGTGTGGTATACAACCAGAGGGGCTCTGGTCCTGAAGGATTTAAGAGCCCAGAGGCTCTGTCAATGCCACCAGAGGCTCTGGTCRTTCACARAGGCTCTGGCCTTCTTCYAGACTTAGTCATTTTAAGATATATAGCTAGACAATACACCTTATGTTGGAACTCACGTTTCTATAATTTTTKATTGATGTAAGGAGCATTTAAGCATAGTTGACCAAGGTTGACCCTAGCCAACGTAGTTGACCGTAAGTTGACTTTTATGTASCYTTTGGGAGAAATTAATCATTTATATGCTATATGCTATTATAAATTGTAGGTTACCAGTCAGCAGCGTTARATAAGCAATCTACATTATCAAGGTGAGTCTTCATGAGACTTACACTGGGATGCATACCTACGTATAAACTTATTTGCAAGCATTATATGATTTATATGATGATGGTACAAATGCATGATGTTTCAAGTTACATACATGATATGTTTTACATGTATGACGTTTTTATGATCAGTTGCATGCTATGTGTTTAACCAGTTTTCGAATAACTCTAGCATGTTTTCTATATCAAAGTTTGATCAGTTTTAGTGGGTGAGCATTTGACCATAAAGTCACATGACAAGCACGACCCAGTAATGAGCGTCTAGGCAGATACAGTCGGACAACTCAGGGAATGCCAGTGACTAAAAGTCACATGACAAGTGGCACGACCCAGTAATGAGTGTCTAGACAAGAGCAGGGCTGACGACTCAGGGAATGCCAGTGAATAAATGACTCGTACCCGGCAATTAAATCATGAGATCTCATGTGTTCAGTATTGCATGTTTTACAGAAATAGCATGTGACAAGTTGGTTTAAAGTTCACAAGTTGAAATGTATGACGTACAATGATTTATGCACTACTGAGCTTTATAAGCTGACTATAGTATGCATCTCAGGCCCAGGTAGTTCGAGGACGGATACAGGCAAGGGACAGGCATAGGGTGTTGCCTATTGTCATCTTGTTTTAGTCTTTTGTCTAAAATGCACTATAATGATCTTTTGTAACTCAACCCCAAAAGTAAGTGGGTTAGAACTTGAGTTAAGCTTGATAATTTCAAAGACTTCCGCTATAATAGTTTAGATGGTTTTAAATTAGCCATCTTTTTGGGTGCATTTATGAAGGAAAAGGATTCAGATTACGTAACATTTCTCTTGAATGAAAATGACGATGTTACAAGTTGGTATCAGGGCTTTAGTTTAAGGTAATTAGGCTAAAACTTGCTTAGCTTAAGCTTAAACTAGGAAGATTGTTAGAGCCTTAATTTAAGGTGAAGAGGTCAAGATTTACTTAGCCTAGGCTTAAACAGAGAAAATAATTAGAAGCACATGTTCATTGTGTAGTAGCGTTGCTTGCATGCAATTAAGCTTGATCCTACGTCACTACTCGACTTAGTGATCCTTTTTAAATTGTAGGGAAAATGGTGCACACCATCCACACCAAATCGATCAGGCACGGTTACGGAGCACGTAGAACACCGCACGGGCTAGGACCAAATAGGGGACCCATGGACAATAGCCGCCCCAACGCCAGTCATGTTTCCCGCTCAAGGACCAGAAGCGATAGTCTGGCCGACAACTGTGAGGTGTCGTCGCAAGAGCCAAGCGGGCGGAGGACCACATCCAAACCATCGATGGATTACACGCCCCGCACCCCGACGCGTGAGGACATGGTGGAAACTATAGAGGCCCTGGAGGGCAAAAACTCAAGGCTAAGGGAGAGGTTGACCCGAACCGTAGATGACAACGCTAGACTAAGTGAGTGGCTGGAAAATCTTCAGCGGGCACATGTCGAACGAGGAGGAGCCCTGATCGAGTTGACTGAAGAAAATGCAGATTTGTCAGGCCAGTGTCATGCCCTGATTTGGGATAAGGTGGTACTCGAGCAAGAACGAAGGATTGCCACTCGCCCCGTAGGCACCAGAATCAAGGACAGGGTTCGCTTCTATAAAAGAGTGGCCATGGACTATGCGGGCGTAGTAAAGGGCTATCTCTCCAACTGGGTACGATGCATCAGAAATGGCCCAAGGGCTAGTGTGCTGTGGCGCTCCTTACCATCTACATCCTATGAGCAGTGGTTGAGGAACCCTTATCTCCCTTATTACCCAACCGATCAGTTCTAGACTTAGAGTCCTTTTGGGAAAAGAGGGAGAAAAATCTTTTGGGTATGGAATGTAATAGTGAAGGTCTAGATAGTTGTTCGAACTATCAATAGATCTCTTTTTTAACAATCACATGATTAAGCGATGTGTCAAAATTTCGTGAATCCCATCTTTTGTAGGTAAATGGGATTTTGTAATATGTCTCTCCCCGAGATTTTATGGAATATAAGTATATCTTTTTAGCATTACGAAATTTTTGACACTAGTTTCATATTATGCATTCCGCCTGTATATAGCAATTATTTATATATGAATGGAATGAGTACGTTGACTTTAGAACCTTACTGAAATAATAGTACCCTATGTTATCAGTATGGTTTCTCGTGGATCAACAAGGAACGCTCTTAATGATGGAGGCATTAATGACGTAGCCCCACCGGTAGTTCGGGGACGGACGCGGGCCCAGGGTCGAGGTTGCGGAAATACCCGAGCTGCTAATTCGAGTACGGCCCCATCCACGCCAGCTAGTTTGGCTATCGGTAGGAGCCAAAGGGATCAAGGGGAAGAATTTCCTCTCACGAAGGAAACAATGGCGGAGCAGATGGCACAAGTCCTCCGGGACACATTACCAAATATGCTTAAGGAAATGTTAGGCGACCGATTTAAGGATAATGAAGAAGAAAGGGAAGAAAGTGTTCAACATTAAAACACTCAAGCCACCAGAAGTATGGAAGTATCTGACAAGGAGAAGGTAGAATCGCCCATCATGGGGATCACTGGGTTGGCAACAAAAGAGATATGATGCAGGTTTAAAACATTCAAGGGCACCGGGCCAAAGGAATTTAAAGGAATAGAAGGCCCAGTCAGCCTGATGAACTGGATAGCCAAGATGCAAAGCTGTTTCAAAATTTGTAAGTGCACAGAAGAACAAAAGGTAACTTATGCTGCTACGACCTTTGTGGACTATGCACTGCACTGGTGGGAGACTGAGTGTGCAGTCAGAGGTGATGAGGAGATTGCTGCCATGGCATGGGAGCAAATGAAGAAGATGATGATGGATAAGTACTGCTCGCAAACAGAGGTGAACAAGCTAGAATTCGAATTTCTAAGGTTGAAGCAAGGATCGTTGTCAGTACAAGAATATGTCAACGAGTTTCTTGAAAATGCAAGGTTCGCCAAGTATCAGGTGGCCACCGAGGAGAGAAAGATAGGCCGTTTCAAGGATGGCTTAAAAATCGAGATCAAGCGGTATGTAGACATGACTAAACCAGCCACGTTTGTACAAGCAGTGGAGATGGCAAAGGTGGCGGAAGAGAACAACGCTAGAGAGGGTAGTGATAGAAGAAAGGCGAAGAGAAGATGGGAAGGATCGAGCAAGTTCCACAAGAAATCCAAATGGATTCCGACTTCGACAAAAACCCGAAGTGAGGAACTCACTATTCCTCCATGTAGCAAATGCAACAAGAGGCACAAGGGAGAGTGCAGGGCGGGGAGCCTGACGTGCTACCGGTGTGACAAACCGGGGCATACCGCACGGGAATGCCCGGAAGGAAGGACATGTTATGAATGTGGAGCTACGGGACATTTGTGCCCTGACTGTCCAAAACATCGCAATAGTACGACACCCCACGGGAAGACGGGGAATAACGGATTTGGAAGAAGACCGGAAGGTAGGAAGGAGCTACCTAAGGGACACGGCCGAGCTTACAACATGACTTTGGAGGAGGCCAAGGAAACACCGGACGTCGTATCTGGTATGTTCCCTATCAACAATGTGTATGCATATGTGTTATTTGATTCGGGTGCGAATGGTAGTTTTGTGTCTACTGCTTTCTGCCACTATCTGGATAAGAGTGCCTGTAGGCTAGACAAAACCTACACTGTAGAAACATCCAACGGTAGTCAGTGTAAGGTAGACGAAGTATTTGATGAATGCACGATCGTTATAGATGGGAAGGATTTCCCTGTTAAACTTATGCCAATGAGCCTAGGAGGTTTTGATGTAGTCTTGGGGATGGATTGGCTGTCCACCAATCATGCACAAATAGTATGCAATAAGAAGATGGTCAAGATTTAAACTCCAAAAGGAGAAACGATCCAGGTTTATGGTGATCGAAAGAGGGGTTGCGTAGGAATGATCAATGCCATTAAGGCAAATAAGTGTCTACGAAAGGGTTGCGTAGCCTACTTGGCATACGCCATCGACGCCAAGCTCGAAAAGAAAGCAATACAAGATGTACCAGTGGTAAGGGACTACCCGGATGTATTTCCGGATGAGCTGCCAGGAATACCCCCGGAACATCAGGTGGAGTTCCGAATTGATCTGGTGCCAGGTGCGGCACCAATCGCAAGGGCACCTTATCGTTTAGCCCCAACCGAAATGCAAGAACTGATGAATCAATTGCAAGAGCTCTTAGATAAAGGATTTATTAGGCCAAGCTCATCGCCATGGGGAGCACCGATTTTATTCGTCAAGAAGAAGGACGACACGATGAGGATGTGCATCGATTATCGGGAACTGAACAAAATCACGATAAAGAACAGGTATCCTTTGCCAAGGATCGACGACCTTTTTGATCAGCTGCAAGGAGCCAGCTGTTTCTCGAAGATCGATTTGAGATCAGGCTACCATCAGTTGAAGGTTCAAGAAGAAGACGTATCAAAGACAGCTTTTAGGACTCGATACGGGCATTACGAATTCGTAGTAATGTCGTTCGGATTGACAAACGCACCTGCGGCATTCATGGACTTAATGAATCGAGTCTGTGGTCCGTATTTGGACCAATTTGTCATAGTCTTTATAGATGACATTTTGATCTATTCGAAGAATAAGGAGGAGCATGAGCAACACTTAAGATTGACTCTTGAACTGCTAGCAAATGAGCAATTGTACGCCAAATTCTCAAAATGTGAATTTTGGTTGCATGAGGTACAATTCCTCAGTTACGTAGTCAACGCGGAAGGGATCAAGGTGGACCCGGCTAAGATTGATGCAGTTATGAATTGGGAATCGCCAAAGTCAGTATTGGAGATCCGAAGTTTTCTAGGCCTAGCTGGGTATTACCGAAGGTTCATCCARGATTTYTCCAAAATAGCAACGCCTTTGACGACGTTGACTAARAAGTYGGTTAGGTTTGATTGGGGAAYRAAACAAGAAGAAGCGTTCCAGATACTTAAGGAGAAACTAAGCACCGCACCGGTTTTATCCCTACCGGAAGGAGTAGAAGATTTTGTCGTGTATAGCGATGCGTCAAAAATGGGATTAGGTTGTGTGCTAATGCAGCGAGGCAAGGTCATTGTATATGCATCACGACAGTTGAAAGAACACGAGAAGAGATACCCAACTCACGACATGGAATTAGCAGTGTTGTCTTCGCGCTAAAAATCTGGAGACAGTATTTATACGGCACCAAGTGCGTGATCTATACCGATCATAAGAGTCTTAAATACTTGTTTGACCAAAAGGAGCTAAATATGAGGCAAAGAAGGTGGATGGAACTAGTTAAGGATTATGATTGTGAGATTCACTACCATCCAGGCAAGGCAAATGTAGTTGTCGATGCACTGAGTAGGAAGGAGAGAAACGGACCAATCAGGGTTCGAGCCATGTGGATGAGTGTTAAGGTGGAGCTTCTAGACCAGATACGGGATGTCCAGAAGGAAGCTTTACACGAGACAAACATTAAAAAGGAGAGAATGATTGGGCAAATCAAGACTCTAACAGCTGGACCAGATGGAATATATAGGCATGGGAATCGGATTTGGATTCCTAGTTTGGGAGATCTAAGAAATATAGTGATGGATGAAGCACATAGGTCCAAATACACTATGCACCCAGGTAATAATAAGATGTATAAGAACATAAAGGAAAGCTATTGGTGGCCCAGCATAAAAAGAACAATAGCTAGCTACGTGGGGAAGTGTTTAACGTGCTCGAAAGTAAAGACCGAGCATCAAAAACCATCGGGGATGTTACAACAGATGGAAATCCCAG